CTGGGAGATATTTTTAAATATATTTTTATTGATTTCAGAGAGGAAAGGAGAGGGAGAGAGAGAAACATCAATGATGAGAGAGAATCATTGATCACCTGCCTCCTGCTCACCCAATACTGGGAACTGAGCCCTCAACTGGGCATGTGCCCTTGACTGGAATCAAACCCGGACCCCTTCAGTCCACAGGCTGATACTCTAGCCACTGAGCCAAACCAGCTAGGGCTATTTTTTTTAAAAAACACACCATCCCGCCCACCCCCCACCCCCCCAAAAAAATACACCATCCTGAGGCAGCAAGAGGTCTCCAGGTAGGGGCACATGCCTGGGTTTTGGGCTTCATCTCAGTAGGGGGCCTGCAGAAGGCAGCCACTCAACGTTTCTATCTCTTTTTCCCTCTCCCTTTCTCTCTCTAAAAGCAATAAAAACATAAAATAAAATAAAAAGCAACCGACAGTCCTAGCTGGTTTGGCTCAGTGGATAACACATCAGTCTGAAGACTGAAGGGTCCCGGGTTCAATCCCAGCCAAAGGCACATGCCTTGGTTGAGGGCTCGATCCCCAGCAGGAAGCGGCCAATCAATGATTATTTTTTCTTCTTCTCTTTCTTCAATGATTCTCTCTTATCATTGATGTTTCTATCTCTCCCTCCCTCACCATTCCTCTCTGAAGTCAATAAATATTTTTTTTAAAAAAAACAACCAACAGTATAATGCCATAACATTGAATTTCTCTTTTTAAAACAACGATACAATAGAGACTATCTGACCTGAACTAGGGGCAGCTACTGTTGACCATTCTTCCTTTAGGTCCATGAAGGTCTTTCTGGGAAGCAATTAGAGGCTGACGAAGAGGCCAGGTGCTCACCAGTTTGAAGGACAAGCATTAACCAGGCGAATGCAAAGGATCTCAGGAAGAAGAGGGGTATTGGGTTCAGGGAACAAGAGGTGAGTCTAGCACAGGGGTGGGCAAACTTTTTGACTCGAGGGCCACAGTGGGTTCTTAAACTGGACCGGAGGGCCGGAACAAAAGCATGGATGGAGTGTTTGTGTGAACTAATATCAATTCAAAGTAAACATCATTACATAAAAGGGTACGGTCTTTTTTTCTTTTCTTTTTTTAGTTTTATTCATTTCAAACGGGCCGGATCCGGCCCGCGGGCCGTAGTTTGCCCACGACTGATCTAGAATGAAGCTGAGTGACGGGAGATGAGGTCAGAAGCAAGACAAGATGATTCAGGGCCTGAAGAATCCAGGAGAATTCGCCTCTTACTCTGAGTGAGATGGGAGCCAGGGGACAGCTGTTAGCAGGGCAGTTATGAAATCTTTACTTGTTTAGGGCATCACTTTGGCTACTGGGCAGAGAATGGATTCACCACCTACTCTCTGGCACGTTTGCCCCTTGGCCTGATTTTTAGTTTTAACCTGTGTTTGTGCAATGACCCTGCTGCTTGAGGTTGGAAGCCATCCTTCAGAATGTTTTGATCTTTGCACTGCGTAGGTCCTCAATAAACGTTTACAGATCAATTATCTGCCAATTCTGTTTCTGCAATACTCTTTGGGAGTCTTGCTTCTCAGACCAGCATCAGCACCACCTGGGAGCTTGTAGGAAATGTAGAATCCCAGGCCCCACTCAGATCTACTCAATCAGAAACTGAAATTTAACAAGATCCCTCAGAAATTCAGATGAATGGTAAAGTTCGAGCACTTCTAGAGAGCAGAATAACTGGAGGGCCAGACAAGCAGGAGTGGCAGGCAGGAGGTGAGCCAGGAGGTGAGCCCAAGCACACAGAGTGGGCTTACTTGAGGAGTCTCCCTAAAAAGTAGCAATCACCCTGAGTCACTGAATTTGAGAGGACACAGGACAGGTAATAAAGCTAGCTCTTATTAGGTGTTTTTTAAGGTTTCTCAATCTTTTACATGCATTAGCTAATGTAGTCTTCACCACAGCCCTAAAAAGCGGTACTATTACAGTCACCGTGCCCAAATTGCAGATGAAGAAACTGAGGCCCAGTGAGGTTGGGGTTATTCCAGAATATTCCATAGCTACACAAGCATTTGCTTGCCCCCCTCGCCCCCCTTCCTGGTGTTTGTGGCAGGATCTGTTCTGATTGGTTGCTGCCAGTCCTCTGGTTATTCAGTATTTTGAATGTTGTCCTGGTTACGAAGCTGGATGGAGGAAGCAGGCTCCAAACTGTGCTGGAGCCATGCTGTAAACCACGGTCTCTATCCATCTCGAGCCATCACCACCCAGAAACAGTACGCCTCGGGGACAAGTAAAGTGTCAACGTGCTTGTAAGCTATAAAGCACAGTGTAAATGCCAAGTGCGTGGATTCCTCCGGGGGCAGAATTGAGAGAAACCTTTTAAAGCTGGAGAAGCTGGGTTGTGAGAGGAGAGGCTGCTGTAGGGAAGCAGCATGCTCTCTGCTTGTTAGAGGGGATAACTGAGTCAGAGGAAAGGTCTCCCTGAGTGGAGCACCACGACCAGCCCCTAGATCAGCGGTTCTCAACTTGTGGGTCGGGACCCCTTTGGTGGTCGAACAACCCTTTCACAGGGGTCGCCTAAGACCATCCTGCATATCAGATATTTACATTACAATTCATAACAGTAGCAACATTACAGTTATGAAGTAGCAACGAAAATAATTTTATGGTTGGGTCACAACATGAGGAACTGTATTTAAAGGGCCAGAAGGTTGAGAACCTCTGCGGAGGTTCCAACTTGTCAGACGCCATTAGGCACTAACCAGGTTAGCCCATACGTGTCTTCCTCAATTGACCCGGTCCTCCTGATATCCACAAGGCGGCGCTGCTCCCCAGCCTTCATCCCACTGGACCCCACCTGCTCACAGGGACCGGACTTGGAAGGAGCCCTAGTGACCGGGGACTTGGAGAAGGCGGGATAGAAGGGGGACTTATATCCATTTTCAATTCCCAAAATACCCCTGCGGAGGAGGAGCTCTTATATCCATTTTACAGATGAGGAACTTGAGGCCCAAGATTCCCCCAAACCAGGAAGCTAAGAGAGGCAGGGCCAGGTCATGTGATTACAACCTCAGTTCCCCAAGGGACCACAAGCTGACGTCAGTTCATTTGACCCTGTCGTCTCACTGGTGTCCCTACTATGTTGATCCTGTATTCTAAGTGGTGGCCAGAACCTCAACCACAACTGTATTCTCACAACTCCAACAGCCTGGCCCCATAAAGGTGGTGACTTCTTGAACTTGAACCTTTTTGAAGTCATGGGTTCCTGCTTCATTGCCCCCTGGCCTTCAGGAACCCCTACCTGCCACCCCAACTCAGAGAGCCTGGGGTCTCCTCTGCTCCCAGAGGCTGGCTCTAGGCCCCCAAAGTCTGTCCTATTCTACATCCCTTCCCCACCCCAGGGGCCCCAGTGGTTCAGGCTTTGCCTCCCCTGACACCCAACAGCAGGCAGCAGCACAAATAAACAAAGGGACATTGGAACCGGGAAGAGCCTGTGGCTGAGTTCAAACCAGGCACCGGAGGTCTTTTCTCATCTCCCACCAACTCCTTTTATGGTCTCTGGGTCCGGTTCTTTCCTCCTAAATCAGAACTGGAAAGGCCTCAGGAGTCACTGGGTCCATGGCACCAAGACGTTCCCTTTCTACAGAATAAAACACAGCGTGCTGCTTTCGCATCTCCAGGCAGGTTCACGAGACTAGGACAGGGCGGGCAGCGTCTTGCAGGGATCGTTAACTCCAGCCCTGGGGCGGGACCCGGGCACAGCGGCTTTAGGAGGCCCAATCCCCAACCCTGTAAAATGGGGTCCAGGGTGAAGGACCCTAACTGCGACTTCTTCTAAGGCCCCGCCGCAGCTTCTGAGGTTCCGAGGAAGGCCCTAGCGAGTATCTATTTCGGCCCCACTCGGTGGGACCCTTTCCTTCTCTCTGCCCTGGGAGCTGCGGGAAGCTCGCGTGTCTGGGAGCACGTGCGTGTGCGCGATCATGTGTGTACAGGAGAGTGTGCGCCGCGGCACACACGTCCGCGCCATTGCTTGGGTCTGTGCGCGCCCCCTACTGGCCGGCCACCGCCGGGTGCCGCTACGGCCAAGTGGCCGTGTGCAGCGCCGCGTGTGTCCCGAGTGTCCCGAGTGTGGCCACCCTCCCCTCATGGGCCGGCGTACAGCGTATGCACGGCGGGCAGGCTGGCCCACAGCATCCGGAGCCTGGGGGCTCTGGCTCACGGTCCCCAGCCCAGCCCTCCCCGCTGGCATATTCTG